AAGAAAAGAAAAGAAAAGAAAAGAAAAGAAAAGAAAAGAAAAGAAAAGAAAAGAAAAGAAAAGAAAAGAAAAGAAAAGAAAAGAAAAGAAAAAGAATACCAACAAACAAAACACAACTCCTGGCAAATTATAAGTAATTAAAAAAAAAAACAAATTAGATCTTGTGATCACTGGCAAGGATCCACGGCATTCTATCCATCTTCATCTGTCAGATGTTGCATGAGAACACTGTCCAAATTCATAGTATTTGTGTGCAGTCACTGCCATTGGGAGTAATGCTAGTAAACGAACATAGCCCAGCCTCTGGAATGGAACGCACTTATGCTACACTAATAATTGCATAAGAGCTGCAGAAAAGATTGCACAGCATCGTGCAATTTACAGACCTAATTCAGTTTCTTGGAAGAGAAAGGACTTTGCTTCACATAGTTGGTACATGAAATGTTGAAGACCTCAAAAGGATTAGCAGAAGTACCTGTGGATCCTGTAACTGGCTGAAGGGCAGATCTTTGCCAATAGCAAAGAGTATGGCATTTAGGGTTTGCTTTGTTTTAACTTGCGTCTAAAAAAAACCCTAAAAAACCAAAAAACAAACCCACAAAAAACCCCCCAAACCAAAAACTAAATCCATCTCAGGAAACACCTCCATCAGGTGGGCCCATGTAACGTTTTTGCTGGGCAGCTAACTCTCATTGTGGTGCTCGAGCTTCTGAATCCCCAGGCACCTAATACTTGATTGCAACTCAAATTTACTGTCCTTTTACTGTCTTTTGACTGACTGGGGGGGGGGAGTTAGTCTTGACCCACCAGTGTTTAAAAGAGATGGCATTCTATTTAAAAGGAATTTATTGCCATATTTCTTGCTAAGGCATTAATAAGAGCTTAACTCTGTAACCAAGAGAGTAAAAAAAAGAGTTCATTAATTTCTATGAGACGTGCTGTGATCCTCAGCTGGGACTGCATTGTCACTTCTATAGATTAATCAGATTTGAAGATCAAAATCAGGTTGAATTAAATTTAATTTATGCTGCAGTGAAGACTGCTAGCAGCGTACTGAATGCTGAGACAGGCTACTCCTCACTGGAATGCAGGAGAACACACTTCCCTGCAGGTATAGCATTGCACTGTGAGCAGACTGCATTGAAGAAGGTGGGAACTCACAGGATATAGGAAAACAAAGCCAGAAAGCTTCAGTATCCTGCTTGTGTTAGAGAAAAAATTGCATGCTGTAATTCTTGTGAGATTTACTGAATTTTGTAGAAGTTGGACATTGTGACATAGGCTTCCTCATTGTTTGGTGATCTCATGTCACTGTTAGGCAGCATCTGGGATATGGTGTCGTCATTAAGGGGCTCTGGATGGGGCTGGCCAGAAGGATCAAGGGGATAAGTGGGGGAAAGGCTGAAACCATCGTTGTGCAGGGGCACCCTGTTGCCGTGGCAAACCTCATAGGTGCTGGAGCTGCAGCTGCCCTCAGTGACTGCACGCTGGCTGGTGCCCAGGAGCCTGTGCAGGACTTCGTAAGACACTGGCAGGTTTAGGTTGATTTTGTCTGCCATTGTAGGGATCATCTTCAGGTCTGATCCACTCCTGAATTTTTCTGGAAGGCTTGTCTCTGGAGTAGTTGATGGCTGCAGAAAATTTTCCAGTTCAGCTTTTGCCCAAAGCCCATCCACTTTATGGATATGAACATAACCAAAACTCTCTGGGTTAAAGCTTGTATCAAAATTCTGTGTGGAAAAGGGAATAGCACAGTTAGTCAACAGTGGGTGGTACTTGAAAAGAAAAGATACTTTGATAACTTATTTGATTTTAGAAGGGTATTTATTATTTCTTTAACTCTAGGTGTAACCCTTAGCAGGCTGAACAATAGGTTAGCACACAATAAACTATCACATGGCTGCAAGACCCTTTCCCTGTTAACTTCACCTCTCCTGTGTCCTCCTCTGGCCAGTACCCCTGGAGAGTGTTTTATGCTCTATACAGTGTTTCAGAGACTTTTCTGAGACACACATTAATCACATGCCTGCCATTTCACAGGAAGAGTGTGCCCACCCAGGTGGTTTCTTTCAGTTTTACCTTCCTAATTTAGCAGCAAGGGAAGTAAAAATTTGCCACAACTTCCTAAAACACGTTAGGAATCCCTGAACTGGGGAGCACAGGGGCTGGAAGAGCTGTGTTAGGCCTCCTATGAAATTAAAAACATGTTAATAATGTACCTGGAGTGAACACTAATGATTTACTTGTCCATCTGGATTTAAACAGGCAGAGCAGTTCATATACTGTATGATTTATGAACAATGCTGCTGGGCATGTCAGGGTACGTGGACATCACCAGGGACATTTGCAAAAGGTCCCCATCCAGCCCCATGATCAGTTTCATAGAATCACCAAAGCATTTTGGTTGGAAAGGAGCCGTGGAGTCCAATCTTCTCCCAGAAGCAGGACCTGGACTAGTCTATTCAGAGCCCTATCAAGCCAAGCCTTAAACATATTTCCAAAGGAGAACCTACCTTTTCTTTGGGCAGGCTACACAGTTCTAAATTATTTTCATAAGAAAGATTCTTTCCTTATATCTGGAAGAAGTTTGCCTGAAGCAATACATGCTTGTTGCATGTTGTCCTGTCACCACGCAGCCTTGGGGTGAGAGCACTTTTCCCACCTCACTACATACACATATTGGAAGGTTTTAAGTAGTATTCCCCACTCCAAGCTTCCTTTTCTTCTATAAACAAACTTAATTTCTTCAGCCTTTCTTCATAGATCAACTTCCTGAGACCTCTGCAGTTACTTTGCACAAGTCAAACCTCAGGCTCCAGGTCAATTCTGTGTTACTTCCATAGCCTTGACTGACATCTAAATGAGCAAATGTGGGCTCTCTTCAGTGAAATTTAGAAGTAATTTCTGAAAGATGTCCTAGTTCATGCAGAAAATGCACATACTGTCTCTCATAGGCATTAGTTTTGTCCCCAAGAGTCTATACTCAGGTGGAAAGAACACTGGAAGAACATACGTTTTTTGGCTTCTTGCATAGCTGCTCCAGCGTTTTTTTATGGTCAGGAAGGTTTGGCCATACAGCAGGCTTGATCCTGAAACAGCACCAGGAGACAAAAAGCAGGATAAGGGTCAGAGGTTCATATTGCATCATTTGTACTAGTTCTCACAAAGCCTTACGGCTGGCTTGCATTATCCAGAATAAAGACAGAGAAGCCTCAGAATAAACCAGACAAGAGAAGAGGAATCATAAAGGCCACCAAAAAGTCATTGTTCTTTGGAGTGCACAAATTGTCACACTTAAAAGAAGACATTTCACTAAGTACTAGAAATGCAGCAAATTATGCTGGCAAAGAGTTTGTTGCTTGTTTTCATCTAGCTGTGTTAACAGGGTTCTGTGTGGAAGCTGTTTTCTGCAAGTGCAAGAAGATGCTGTGGTTAAGGTGGAAATTTGCTGATACTTGCTTCTGCATGTTCAGTTAATTCAAAGAATAGTATATTATCCCATTCCTTGGCCAGCAATTTGAGCTACAGACATCTGTCCTGCAGCCTTTTTTAACATTTTTACTGCCTTGATTAGCAAAGTTCTCATGTTGTGCAGCTTGATACTTAGCTATGATGCATGTAGAGAATGTTATCCAACTGATATTCAATTATTGCAGTGTTATATATGTATACGAATATATATTTAATTTTATTTGTGTGTCTGTGTTGCTGTACATATGCACATGTATAAAACCTTCTTCTTTTTAAAATAGAAATATCTGGGATCAAAGTCTCGCCTGGTTTTGCTGCAGTTTTATGTAAGAAAACTTGCAGCAGTTAGAGAACTGTAGGTTCCCAGCAACAGTAAAACCCAAGAATGAGAAATCTCAAGCAACCTCTGTACTTGTGAATAAAGTAGCACCAGGGCAGATAACTTCAATATCTAAAATGTTTAATTATTAAAATTGCTTTGTGGCATGGTATGGCTGAGGCCAACTAGCATTGGCCAGCTAATCCCCATGTTTAACACTGCCAGGTAATCCCCATGTGTTACTCTGGAGTTAGCATAGCCCAAGTGTTGTCCCAAAAAGCAGCTCACACAGAGTTACCTCTCTTGATCTGAATGTCATGGACAGACTGCTCTGAATGTCGTTGAAGAGTCCTGGGCTTTCTGTATTGCAAGGAGTTCTTAATCTCCAGTTAAACTTGGATTTTTTTCCCTCCAGATTCTAGTTTTGTAACATTATCTACATATCTATTAAATTTCTTAAGCTTGTCAGCTCTACTGAGCCATGTCATTAAAAACATATTTACAGTTATCCATCTATTGCTGTGCAGCAGATCTATGAAAAAAACACTAACGCAGACCAAGGGCTGCTTGGGTAGGGAACATATCCTCATCCCATTTCTGCCTGATCTCGCCTCATGACTGGCTGGAAGAGGATTTGGCCAGGCTGGTGTCTGACATCATCAAGCCCCTGTTGCAGAGGGCTCTGCCCTGCTGCTTCTGAAAGCACTGCAGAGCAAACATCCCACTGACTGAGCCTGTCAAAGGGAAAGAGGTCATCACCCTGGCATGCTGTTTCCACACTCCTTAGGAGTTTACTAAAACCCACAGATTTTGCTTGAAGTTTGTGAGTCAAATTTGCTTCCAGTGGGACACTGAATCTGTAAGTGTTTTGTGGTGACTTTGGCACCAAAGTTCCCAGTGTTTTGAGCTCAAGACTGAAATCTCTGGTCCAAGTGGCAGGTCATCTTCTGCCTGCCAACACTGTTTCTTGTATTGCTCATTTTTACTCTTTGCTTGCCATCAGCTTGATACAGAGTTCCAGAAATGGAGAGGGAATAGTTTACAAGCATAACAGGGAAAACAAGAAGACTGTCAGAACAGGATTGGGTTCCAACACCTTTTCTGATACAAAGAGATTACCTGTTTTCCCAAAAAACTACGATCAGTGCAATCATAGCAACAGACAGCATGAATCCCAGGATGGAGAGTATAACCATGGCCACACTGCTATCTAAAGGAAAACAGAGAACATCAGCCAACGCATGTAAATGTCTCACTGTTAAGCCACCATAACAGTGATGTCTTTTCAGATGATAAATTAGGAATTAACACCAAGCATTGCATTTGCCTATCACTGGGCTGGTGCAATGGCTCGTTTCTCCTGCCTGTGAAGGAGGTAAGTTACAGCCTGCCACAGCATCAGCACCTGGATTAAAGCAGCTTGAAGTGTGCTGTCACCTCCTGTGCATTGAAACCAGCACTCACTGTGTCCTCACAGCAGCACAGAGATGAGTTCTAACAGCCATAATGCCAAGGTACCGCTGGGGACTGAAGGGACCCAAGGACCACAAAGATTATTCACGTGCAGTGATGAGATTTTATCCTGTGTTGAATTTGTGGTTCAAGTGCCATGTTCACACCCAGGCCCAGGGTCCTGAAATGGGTCGTATTTCACTGCTCTTCGTGCCTTACCCAAAGCCCTTCCTTCTCCTGGCAAGCCAGCCAGCAGCTAGCAGTGAGTCAGCCTTCATCTCCCCCTGCACCCACACCCTCATGCTCTCATGGCAGCATTTCCTCTGACCTTATTGCCCTTGAGTGAGATTTAAATCTTCACGGAGAGCCAGCCCCAGACCAGAGCAACCCAGCTGCTCTGTGAGTCACCTCCTTGGACTGCTGTGTCTGAGAGGGCTGACCCTGCTGTGGCTGTGGGCTCTTCCCTCCCCATTCTCTCATCCCTGCTATTTCTGAGGTTGGCCAGGGAGCCAAGACCCCCAGCTCTGCTTTCCTCCAGGATGCCCAAAGTGTTTTCAGCCCTTACAGCTTTCTGTGGAGTGCTGCTCTCGCGCTGTCCTGAAGCTCTTGGAAGTGCTCCATTCACTCCATGTGCCCTTAAAATAATCTCCATTGGGCTGAGAACGTACTTTCACCTCATATGATGCTTCATTTTCAAGGTTTTTCCCCAGCAGTTTTACCTGAAGATATGGTGACTCTATTGTCTAAACACATACACACACACACACAAAAAAATACAATTATTTTTCCAGCAGACAGTGGAGAATTATCCTCGAGTTCAGCAAAATATGTGAGATCAGGTGCATCCCTGAAATACTGTTTAGTCCATCTCTCTATTACACAGGTGCTTATCAGAGCATCAGCCTAGTTAAACAGCAGCATACTCCAGATAGTATTTGAGAACAGAGACAAATGCCGGGTAAAAGCTTTTTGGAAAACAGCTGAGAGTATTAACTGTGCTTTGTGGCAGCTGACACTGCAGTAGGAAGTATATGCTTCCCTGAAAAGGCTCAGAGGAGAGATGGGGAAAAATACATTTTTGCAGCATAAAAAGACAGTGTCTGAGAGGGCAGTTACAGGGAAGAAGCTGAAATTCTGCATTGCAGCTCTGGTGCTCTCCATTTCGCTGTCTCAATCCATTTTCTTTTCCCCTTAAGTTCTTTGATGTTTGATCTGTATATTTTCATGTCCAATCAACAAGGAGGGAGATTTAATCTGTGAAACAGAGAGCAGTTAATAAGCAAGCTCTAAGCGATGTTCAGGTGCTAGAAAAACAAATTATCTGCGGATAGAATTGCCTTGTTAAGGTTTTGGTCTTGACATGCTTCAATGATGTGAGACCTGTGGAGAGGTTAACAAAGCTTGGGAAGAGGGGTATAGTGATGCTAATGGACACAAAGAGTGCAGAATTTTCAGGCCATTATAGAGGATATTTGGCAGAGCTCCCAAGATAAGGAAGAAACGAATAAAGACAACTCAGTGACTGTGCTGAATCAGCTCTTAACTGGTTAGAAGGTAATTCTGGCAGGAGCAGATCACAGCTGCTGACTCATGGCTCACCAGGACACGAGAGCCACCAGCTCAAGAGAAGACAAAGACTGAGCCTCTGGGCTAACTGGCATGAGACGTGAGAGAATCATTAGTCGACAGAAGATGGAACACTAATTAAAAAGAGAACAATATAACTTGTGGCCAAGGAACACTAATTAGTTTGTTTCCTAAAACGTATAAATACTAAAACGTTTTGGTAGTTGGTGTGCTTGATTTGTGGAATACCACTGAGCATCCAAGCTTGTGCAACTGAACAATCCACATCTCTCTCCAGTGTGGAATTACTGGCATGTTGCACTCCATGTAACAAATCTGATTTTTGTGGACAACACTGTGCTCTCTCTGTAAAATGCAGGTGTAGTCCATGCTTTCAAACATTGTGATTAGCTTTTGCATGGCTGCCCTGGTGAGAGGGGACACACAGATTCATGCAGCTGGGCAGCCCCAGTCAGACCAGTCCACAGGCAGCTGTAGCCTCAGACAGCCCGAGGGTAGGAGAGCTGCAGGGCTGCACTGAAAGCCTGGAAGGATTCAGTGGAAAGGAGATGTGAAGAAACTTGAAAAATAAGTAAAGAGGTCACACGTTTTACTGACTGATGAGCACAGAAAATAACAGCAAAATCATCACAGCAAAGAGTAAACTTAGTACGGTTGAACATGTCTTTTATTTCCACTGCAAAACCCAAATAAATAAAACCTTTTGACTGATGAAATTTCCAAACGCCAAATATTGCACCTTTCCAAGTTTTCAGATAGATATCTGCAGAAATGCAGATTTGATAATTTTTACATGGTACAGGTTATTTTGATACTGCTTAATTTTGGAAATTACTGTAAGCCCATCAATACATCACCACTTACCTTCCAACTACCTTCTTTCTGCCGATAGGCTACTTGGTGTACTAATTTGTCCTTTAAGTATTTTTTCCTGGAGTGTGGTGTACAGTAACGAATAAGATATTCATTTGCCTCCCTTTCATATGTGATGTTTATAGCGAATGGAACTTCGGGCTTAACTGCAAATGACAAGAAACCAGGATAAAACAGGAGCAGAATAATGTTACTAGAAGATAAACAGGGTTTGAAATGTTAAAAAAAGTCCACTTCAAGTTACAGCCCTGCAGGGTGGCCTGTCTTGAGAAAGAGCTGTCCTGAGCTAGGCAAGCCTCATGCTGAGCCCCAGCTCCTCCTTACGCCCTGATCCTGAGAAGGGCTTGGTTTTGACCTGCTAGAGAAGCAATGTGACCAGCAGGGGAGGTGCTTGTGAGGAATATGACATTTAGTCTTGGAAAGCAATTCCTGAGCATGCCCACCCCTGTGGCAGTTTGAAGGCCTGAAATTCAGTCCCTCTAGCACTAGTCCCCAGTGCTCTGAGATGGAGGCCCCCTGGCAAAACCCACCTGGGAGAAGGCACTGGGGAACAACCTGTGCTCAGGTACCACTGCGGCTGTCAGGGCACTGGGACAGAGGGAGCTACGAAGTGTGACAGTTTTAGATAGACCAGAGGAGCTGTGGCTCCAGACCCTTGCTGTGAACACCTGACCTGGTCTGCAGGAAACTGTGCCAAAGACCATCCGTGCAAGTACACCAAGTCAGAAATGCAGCCCTCAGGGCTCTCCCCAAGCCAAGACTGTGCTGGATGTGCTTGAGACCTGTAGGCACTTGTGACTGTGGCACTGAGGCTTCCTGAATTCACCTTGATAAGTACATCAGCCCTCACAGCAACACAGAGCCCACACATATAGCCATAAATTGTTCTCCTTCTATAACCCTCAGATACTTCGATCATCCACAGTCTTTAGAGTAGGGACTGCCAGAGGTCCAGGCTGGCCCGTAAACTAAGAGGTAATGTAAGATTATTACAAAACTACTGAACTGTGGCAGAAATGTTTCACAAGAGAGGGATGTTGCAGAACTTACTGCCAACTGGAGACAAAGCACCAGGGAAGAACAGAGAAGAATCTGTCCTACAAAAGCTTCTCTGCCGCTCTTGAATGACACTGGTTACCAAGAATAGTAATTCTGTGTATCCCCTCCTCCCCTTGAGTTTCTTATTTCTTGGCTCAGGCAGGTCCCTGGTGTGTGTTAGCCCGTTCACAGTTACCAGTGCAGGATGCACCTTGTTCAGACTACCACACCACGACGTGAAGTGAGATCTTGCAGCCTTGTGCTCCCTGTGCTACTGGGCTCATGCTATCTGTAGAGTGGCCAGTCCCTAAACTGCATAATCTCTAGTCAGAGATTAACAAAATGTCCCTGCTTGGCAGTTCACCCACACTGAGGAACAGCTGCTTCAACCATGGACGGGATTCAGTCTATGTCTGGGTCTGGGCAGTGTCACAATCAGCCTGAATTCAGCTACGCATTTTGAATGTAGGTTAATCATGTCTAGCTTTGAAGCAGGGGAATCACTATACTCTGATAACACCCCAATCCAGACCATATGCCCTGCTAAAATGCTCTTTTATGCTGCCTTTATTCACCCAGATTGACCATCAGGCTTTGCATAACCCCTATAACTTTAAAAACATCCAAAATGTTAAGTATCTCACCAATGTCAGTTATAACCAGACTCCTGCAGACCCTTCTCTTCATCTCAGAGTACATGCAAACATCTCTGTTTGAGAGTATATCAATGAACTGTAAGAAGAATACATCTTCCTGTTTCTTCATGTTGGAGCAGGCATAATTGTTGTCTTCCTTGGTACTGTTGGCCAAAGTGACACGACAATCATTTCTTCTAACTGTTAATATGACTTGACTACTTACTATAAAGGATTAATCCTGCTTGCTCATTTCACTCAACTCACTGAAGTGAAACTCCATGTGAAATAATACAATGCAAATAAGGAGTTTGAGATGTTGATAGTGTTTTTCCTTGTGGTCCTTGAGAACAATAGTAAAGTGATGTGAATCACAAGCATCATGGAGCTCTCAAGAAGAAAGTGCAATTATTCAGTTGGAGGTGTATGTGCTAAAATGTTTGCATCTTTAAAAATTACCTTTCCATTGCTATTTTTGAATATAGGGCAATGTGTTTTGATCCTCTTTGAAGAGAAAGATGAATTTCTTACTGACTTTGGCGGCAGCAAATAGAGGGTCAACAGTGAACCTGGCCATGAAGGAATCACATGGTGGTTTTAGAACTTTTTTTTCCATTTCTTTGGCTCCCATGTTTGAGAACTGCTGTAAAACTTTGGTCAAAACCCATAATAAGTCCCATGAAAATAGAAAAATTCTAATAAACCATGAGAAAAAAATGGAAATAATTAGTGACTAGTATATTAAGATTTAAAGAAAATAGACACTTCTTTTTTGGCTGCCACACAATTTTCAGTTTCAGGAAAAACAGAAAAGGATCTGTATGCTCAATAAATAAAATCTTCAGCTTGGTGCAACAGTGAAAAAGAAGTGTGGAAAGAGTTTCAAGGCCTCAATAGGAAGTGGAGATGACTGATGTGTTTGATAAGTGTTGGAGGTTTGTGTGCTTGTTCTAGTGTATTTCTTGTACGTCTCTGTGTGCAAAGACAATAGCTGAGTTTTTTGTCTTAACCTAGATGAAGGCATTTTCTCGGATGTGGAAAATTATCCTTCTGCTAAAGAATTTTCTGTGGCATGGATTTGTGTCTTCAAAAACATTTTTTAAAATACCATTTAAATTAAAGTAAAAAGCTCTCAGTTCATGCTGGCCTACATCCATAATACAGGCATTCCAGAGCAACAGAGGCAAGGTCAGAACTACTGGAGACATTATAATCCCCTTTAGAGAGTCTCCCAGCTTGTTCTTTTTCTCATTAGGGAGTTATGTTCCGCTTCAGTAAACTCTTCTTCTTTGCTGAATATAGTACTCAAACTTGGCAAAACACTCTGAAGCAGGATTTTGTCTGGCTTTGCTGCCCCTGTTTCCCTGCATGTGGCAACGTGACTCACTAGTGCTCAGCATTTCACTTCCCAGGTGTTTACAGAGGGACAGACAGCACTTACCACAGTGACAGGGTGTAGTTAGTGTTGTAAGGAGGCAGCTCGGTGAAATTGCAGGTCAGGCTGCTAAAGGAGTCCTTAATTTCCAGCTGGCTGAAGCAGTCAATGTCAAAATTGTCTGGTTCATCATCCCCAAGAGTCCCTAAGGAAGTATTCAGAAGATGTTACTGAAGTAAACCCATGAGTGTATTTGATTTGCAGATCCATTGTATAGGAGGTTGTATCTTCATGTGGTTGCCTGAAAGAAAGAGGATCAACCCACCTGTTTTGTGAGGAGCAGAGAAACCTTGTCCAAAATGAAGTTAGAAGCCGTTTGTACCTTTCAAGGTTGCTCTCCCTGCATGCCAGTAAAGTCCACCCACTTGCACGAATGTTTTGGTGCCATGAGGCAGCTAAACCACATTTTGATTGTACTGGAAAGCTGTCTGAAATGTCACGAATTTAGCCTCAGGAGGGAAATCTTAGACTTTGTGCCAGATTGCATGGCTTCCTGCACATTTACTTCAATGACTAATAACACAATCATGATTTGACTATAAGCATAATTCTAAAGTCCTACACTTGGCAGGTATGAGGCCAGTGATGCAAAAAATGACACTTCTGAGAGAAGACCTGTCTGGCAGAAAATGCCAATAAAATCTCACCCACTAAAGCCAAGTGGGTGGAGAAAGGCTTATTGTCATGACCCCTCGAATGGATCCTAGGGACAGGAATGCCTCTGACTCCATTCACCAATGCTTAACAGTAGCTGTCATGATACATAAACCTCTTTTCTGAGTTAAGGGATTATACTCTATCCCCCACTCAATCCTCTGCTACCCGTTTCTCAGACAGGTCCTTGCCATGTGGGGCACCTGATGCACTGAGAAAAAGAACCACAGAATCAGACAGGTCTGGGTGGAAAGGGATCTTAAAGATCATTAAGTTTCATCCACCATGGGCAGGAATGACACCCACTGGATCAGTTTGCTCAGGGGCCCATCCAAACTGGCACTGAACCCTTCCAGGGATGGGGCGTCCACAACTTCTTAGGGCAGCTTGTTCCAGAGTTTCACTGCCCTCTAAGTATAGAGTTTCTTCCCAACATCTCATCTAAATCTCTCTTCTGACAGTTTAAAACTGTTCATCCTTTTCCTATTGTTATCTGCTGTGGGGTATCAGTGACTCACAAATGGAGTGGGCCTGTTGAAAATTTCCAATGGAAAATCCCTCCCAGAGAAAATGATGGTCAACTCTTGCATCTGCAGTCAGATTTCAGTAAGAGAAAAAGTCCAGAAGTCAGTCAGAAATGCAGAGAAACACACAAAAGCAGTTCAGGCAGAGGCTAGGAACAGGGACTGCTGCTACCAGCACCTGTGATGGGATGGGAGCATCTGATGCTGCAGTAATCCAGAATCCCCAGGGAGATCTCTCCCCCATGAGCTAATACTTAGTGGCCATTTGTTACCATGAGCAACTGGTGCTAAGAAATCATTACTGGTCTTCTCAGCACAGCTCAGGGAGCCCAGATCCCCCTGAAGGACTACAAATGCAGTGTCCTCTACCAGCGTTGCTGCTTTCAGGGGAGAATCTGTGCAGCATAGAGACAGACACACAGACAGACACACAGACACACACAGACAGAGACAAAGACAGAGACACAGACAGAGACAGACAGGGACAGAGGTACAGACACAGACACAGAGAGAGAGAGAGACAGATGGAGATATAGACAGACAGAGACAGACACAGACAGAGACACAGACGGACATAGAGACACAGACGGGCAGAGACACAGGCACAGACACAGACAGAGAGATGCAGAAAAAGCAGATGCTGTACAAATCTGCTGTATTTAACCATCACATTCAAGACAGAGACACAGAGATCAGCCCAACTTTGGAACAAGTCCTGCAGCAGTTTCAGAGGTGACAGTCTTGTCCAGTGCAGCCCTGTGCCATAAGGGTAGACATGCTTGTACAGAAAGTATCTACCATATACAGTTGCATATTTGTGGGTAAAAGTGTGTACATGAAAATATGTGTATTTAAAATCTGGGGGATACCAAGTAAGCTGAAATGAATCTGTTTAAAATGGAAAACAACTCACCATATTTTATATAGATATATACACCCAAAGCTGGCATGTACAGGTATGTCACATTCTAAGCCTCTCTTAAGATTTTAGTTGCAACTGCTAGGAGACTTGCTTTATGCTAAAGGCAATATCAAAACTTAAAGGTTAGGATGACTAATCTGCCCTTCTATATGACTGCTCCGTGATCTCTGTATATGCAAACTATAGATACCAGATTTTGCATCAACTCAAAAACCTGACAATCATCCTATTAATAAATGGCTTATTAAAAAAATTCAACTATTCACTACTCATTTGCTAAAAAGGTACAGAAATTTGAATTAATTCTCTATCAGTTTGGTTGCAAAATGAGAAGAAGAAAAGGCGTAGTCTTGCAGTTCAAACAGGCATTCAAGGTTTAACCAACGTAGTGTAGCTTTGGTGCCACACTGGAAGGAAAGCTGACTTTACCACCTAGACACTTAACATTTCCACTGTGATTATACAGTTCCTTATTCATGGAAATAACATAATAACCATAGAATATATGACAATTAAACCTCAGGAACAGTGTTAAGTAAGCAATTAGAAATGCTATTTCTGCTATGGTTTTTCATGGGCTGACTAATTTTTTTGTCTGACGTAAGTAGGCACACAGTCTCAGCCTCAACTTCTGCCCTAAACCTCAGAACCACCACGCACAAATGTGTTTGCTAAGTGAATGGTTTTGGTGAGTCTGACATGACTCATACTGCTAAGGACACTTCACTCAATTAAAAATTTACAAGACTATTGCCTTGAGAAGGCCAGACCAGGCAGAGACATGAACCTGGCTCTACTGAAATCAAGGCAGGGCTTGGGAAGGAGTGATTCTGAACTGAGATAAAAACTGCTCTCATAGCTGAAGTCATGGCAGTCCTTCACAGAAATGGTTCTCTCTTGGGTTTGGACAGCATCCATCAGGATGGTTCAATGGAGATGTGGTAATGTGACACCTCTAGCACTGATGTGATTCAGGCAGAACCTGTTACAGTCACTTCAGCTTAGATGTGGGTTGCATAAACTCTACAAGTGTGGGTAGGAGGACCACTGAGGGTGCCTTGACCATAAGCCTCCTCTGCCACCTGCACTCTCCCTGCCTGCCCCTCCTTAGCCCTGCCTGTAGCTCTCTGAGGCCTTCTGGGGATCTCCATCACTTCTTCCTGGGTGGGGGACATCAGCTGGGAGACAGTCTGATGCTCAGAAGAGAGGAGGAGATGGAGAAAAGTGCTGCAATTAGCTCTTCCCTCCTCTGCCCATAAGGGCAACTTCATGCCTGAGTTGGCTATTGGCACTTTGTAAGGAGGCAGGGCAAGTCAGAAAGGCAAAGAGTGAAAGTCAAATATCTGTCATGGGTGATTTTACCCCAGGTTATTTAGTTTGTTGGCCAAACAGAGAAGATCCATAAGGAAGTCAAAAAAGCTGCTAATTGCACAATGGGGATTTTCTGAATCTGTTTTCACATATACGGAAATCCTTATTTACTCATGATAGTGACAAAACAAGCAAAGGTCTGATCATATTGATTTTGGGAAGGCCTGAAGATTTCAGTGACACCAACAATAAGTCACTAGCATTGAACATTCATCACCATAGCTGCTTTCCAAAGCTGGCTCTAAACAGCTGCCAGTTATATGAATAAATGACAAATAAAAACCCCAGAGTGGTTAGATCCAGTTCTAAGCCAGTCCCTGTTTTCATTTAATGAAAAAACTTATCATGCATATCCTGTATGTACATACATATGCATGTACAACTGTCCAGATACATGTGTTAAAATACACAACATCCAGGGAAAAATGAGATTCCCTAACTGAGAGATAGCATAAGAACACAACCTTTCTCCCCCTAAAACTGAAAACTCTTTTGTTCCCAAACAGTGGAGCTCTAATCTACCAGTAACTAAGTGATACCCTGTGTCCCTCAGGCGTAGTACACAAACTCTTGTCATTGCTGTTTGTTTAGTATCAGACAAATAAGAGTTTAGCAGATCTGGGACTGAATTTCTAAATCAAAATTTTCATCTCCCTGTTGAGAAAATGAATAGCAGGCTGAAACAGTGGTTTTTATTTCTGCTTATTATGTTTTTATACTCTGCTTATTTATGTTTTTGATCTTGATACTGCTAAATAATTTTCACTCTCTAAATGAGATCATAAAGTCTACAATAAGGCTGAATTTAAAGGGTTGTTAATTTATAAAGTGTTGTTGCTGAGTAGGGAATGAATGCTGTTAGTGATGTGCTGTGAGAGCCCCCTGACTGAGTTGCTGCATCAGCCCTGCTATGAGGGAGACTGAGGCCATATCCCAGATACAGCTGATTAAACTGCTTAAAGAAAACGTACAAGTTTGGCTTTTGAAGTGGAACAGTTTGGGCCAAGTTTGAGTTACCTCAAAATGTTTTACTTGGAGGAGACTGGCAAGAGCAAAAGAAGCCAGAACCTCACCCCACTCTACTGGCAGCTCGGAGTGACCATGGGTGAAGTTATCCCTGTTCCCAGGAATAAGTCCCCACACAAACGCTACCTACAAGTATTGACAGGGCTGGCACTCCATGCCCTGTGCATACAGCTATGGTCTCCCGTATTTCATGTGGATTTGAGTTACAAGGACAGAAGATTTGGGGATTGAATTAAGTAGGTAGCCCTCAGCTCCACCTCAGCCACCGGCACTAAAGAGAGTTTGGAAGTTAAAGCACGAATGCATTTATCCACACAGCTGCATTCTGGAGCTCTTAACTGAGGTTTTTTAAGATCATACGTGAGTGGAAAGACGCAGATGAAATGACTCACCATCACCGTCTGCTGAGGTGCAACCACTTTCCCCCAGGGCGGTGTGCAGGACCATGGCGAAGACGCTGAGCACAGTGCCGGGCTGTGCCATGCTGGGCGCGCCGCATGTGTGCAGCGAGCGGGGCTGCGTGCCAAGCCAAGCCAGGCCGCGCCTTTATAGCGGCCTCAGCCCTCAGCCCTCAGCCTCGGCCTGCAGCGGCACCTCCGCACGGGAAATGTAAACATGCCTACGCACGGCACGGCTGGTGGCAGCGGGCAGGAAGCCAAAGCAAAGAGAGCTGCTGAGCTTTTACTGTGAAACAGCTTCCCGCTCCCGGGATGAGCAGGTTGTGGAGCCAGGCCCGCCAGCCCATCTGGCGAGCCTGGTAAAGGCCGGCGGGAAAGGCAGCGCGGAGCACGGACAGTGCTCCCGACTCCTGGTGGGATTCCTGCCGCTGGCTCCCTAAGAGCATGGTTTAGCCTTGGCATCCACTTTGCTCCCAAGAGAGGTGCACGGATCCAAGGAGAAAAGTCTTCCAGGTATGAAACATTAGGTATGATTGCTTTTGTTTATTCCCTGACTACCAGGATCAAAAGCAGCACTGCCAGCAGGTGATTCTTTATTCTTGTGAGACCCTGGCTGGAGCACCCCACTGAGCCCCAACATTAGAAGGACGCAGCATGTGGAATTAAGTCCAAAGGAAGCCAGTGAGATGAGGAGAGGGCTGGAACACACCTCCTGCACAGACAGGCTGAGAGAGCTGGGGCTCTTCAGCCACAGAAGAGAAGGCTCTGGGGAGATTTTACCATGGCCTTTCAGTATATAAAGGATGCTTATAAGAAAGATGAGGAGAAATTATTTACCAAGGCCTGTGGTGATGGGACAAGGGGCAATGTTTTTAAAATAAAAGAGGGGAGATTTAGATTGGACATACCAAAGAAATTCTTCCCCTGTGAGGGTGGTGAGGCTTTGGCAGAGGTTGCCCAGAGAAGTGTGTCTGCCCCATCGCTGGAAGTGTTCAAGTGCAGCTTTGAGTAACGTGGTCTAGTGGAAGGTGTCCCTGTACATGGCAAGGGACTTGGAATAAAGGAATCTTCAAAGGTCCCTGTCAACCCCAAACCCTCTGTGATTCTATGAAGTCCTGCATGAGGCAATGCTGACTCAGAAAAACCTGTGATTTAAAAGACTAATCCTGCAAAACCTGGCTCCTAAGAGCAAAGTGGCACATCTCACATTTTTTCAGGCTTTGGACAAAGCAAAGGTGGAAAGCGAAAGACAAAGAGGTGTTAGGTATTTCCTTTGCACCCTTTCTGTGGCTGAATACGCCGACACACACTAGAGTGTAAAGCAGGGCCGTGCACAGGGCTGACTGATGTGGCTAGCTACAGGTGAGCTGACAGCCTGAAACAGAAGAGCAAGCTCTGGCACATCCCTGGCTGCACCAAAAAAAGCTTCACATTGGAGGTGTAAAGTAAACTGGGGACAAAGTTTGTAAAAATGAATGCCCAAGTAAACAGAAAAATTGACACTATAATAAGGATGCTCAATATGGAAGCTTTTTTCGTCTGCAAGGAAGTAATAGAAAATGCTCACCAAAGTGAAGAAAGCTCAGGTCTCGTAGGTAGAAAAGTTTCCTTCTTTCCAGGACATCAGGGACTGTCCTGCAGTGTCTCTGCCCTAGGCAAGGGGCACTGGGTAGCCAAGGCACTGTTTCTGGACTCCCCCTGCCCAGTTTTAATAGGAAGACATGGCCCCCTTTCCACGAGAGTTCAGTGAGGCTGATTGGAAGATCTCCAGATCCTGTATCCAGCCCCACCTAATGGAGCCTCCCTGGGGCTCCCCACAAAGCATTCCCTGCAGGTGCACTAAGCCTGGGTAGGTTCAGAAGGGTGGGTTGGGCTCTCTGGCCAGCATGTCTGTATTTACCGTGTGTATTGCTGTGTCAGGACTCTCCTTGCTTCACTTCTGTCTGGCAGGGAAGAGCACGATTCATCTCGTCCTAACACAGACATTAAAAAGATAAAATCGAAACCCCTAAATGCATTTATTTCCCTCCGCTGAAGAGAGAGCCCAGGGTGAGGCAGGCTAGATGTCTGCTCAGCAGACCTCTGAATACCTCCTGCCCACCAACAGCAGAGGGACCTGCCTGGCCACCCACACAAAGCAGGAGCTGGTGCAGGGGCCACAGAGCCACTGGAGGTGGCACCACCATGGGCTGATTGACCCTCACTTGAGGGCCTGACTTCTTTTATAGATCAGTTTGTGTCACTGCTAAATTCACATGGTATCCCTTCAAGAGATTCCCTCTCTCTGAGTCAGCTGAAGGGGCTTTAGCAGTAACTTGTACTACTCATCTCTCATGCTCAAGTTTTCGGTGCTTGATCAAAGTACATTGCAGCCAAACTTGAATTAGTGAGATTGAGTCCTGGTGATATCTAATACCTAACGCCTTGCCCTTGCTTGCTTTAGACTAGCTGAGAATTTAACATTTTTCTTATTAATCTTTCTTATCATATTATTCTAAAAACCCTCAAGGTAATTCCTGCCTCATTTTCAGACAGAAATGTCATTAAAGAAAAGCTCTCCTGTGCAAATTGGTCACTATCCAGAAATGACACCTTCTCACTTTAAATTTGTCTTGTTTATAATTGAGTGGGCTATCACTTTGATCTTTTTTTTTTCTTTTTTCCTGTTTCAGTTGGAGCAAACTAAAAGAAAAAGTCTTTTCAGACATAATATTTTTGTTGAACATGAATAATCTTATTATCAGAGCTGTGCTGCTCAGGGGATTTCCATGTTGTCATGGTTGCATTTTGTCTGGGTGGGGAAATGAGGGACCACAATGAAAAGAAAAAAAACCTAGTATCAAGAATACCCTGAAGCAAAAGTACATTTTGTTTTACTTCTGCACGTCTGCTTCAGAAGCTGTTTCATTTCTAGGAGATATTTGAGTCTATCCGTCTCACCTTGTTGCCTTTCTGTAATGTCTGGGACATAGGAAATTAAATCTGTAAGTGTAAGTCTTAGGACAGCTGAAGGGTTAGTACCCAGAAGAGGCTGGAAAAAAGATGGATTACTTTTCACTTGCAATAAATTTACACTGCTTCTGCCTCCTCACTGAAGATTCCACAAAAAACCCCAACAAACCATCAACAACAAAACCAACCCACAGCAAAATCCCCCTCCAGTTTAGACAGGTAACTTTTGAAGGTCCAGCAAAAATGTACCTGTGCCTCATTGGTATGCCAGCTCTCTTTGAATCCCAACACCCTCTTTTAGACCTTCTGAGTCATTGCATGCCCTCTTGCATTTTTAGCCATTAACCAAGCCCAGGTTACAACTTCCATGACTATGAAAAATAAGTTTTCCAGTGCCCTGTGATGCCCCTACACATCCTCAAGTGCTTTCTTGGATTATCACTTCTGTTGCAGCTGTCGACTAACCAGGTGTCATCCACAAGTTAGCATCCATCTTTGCTTCTTATACTGTTTGTTCACTCATTTTTGTTGTTTTTTTTTTCTCCTTAGGACACGAAAGTATTTTTTGATTCTGCTTTGGCTCCAAAAATTGCAGAAGGTTTCTGCACACATGCACGTAGCCTTTTAGAAAGATGAAGACAAATAAATCCCTTCCTTCTATCAACAACACTTTTCAAAGGCTCCAGTTCAGTGAATTCTCAGAACCTCTGTGAGAGATGAGTGGAGTGGATCCTCCAGACATATCCCAGTGTGCAGCACTGGAGACAGGACGTGTGTACACTTACGGATGGAGGATACAGACATCCTTGTGTTTGTGGAGCTCAGTGGTGTGTCCTGGTTAGATACCCATGGTCCAACTTGGGACTGGGTGTGGAGGGAGCTTTTCTCAAGTTGGTCATAGCTGGCAGGAGCTGTTGGGCTTCTTGGCCCCCTCTAAGGCATGGGGGTTCCTCTATTCCCTGGGCTGTTAATAAATTATCTGATTATATCACAGAGTCTCATTAGAATTTGTATTATATAAATGCTCAAACAGACTTCATACTTGGACTTTTATTTTTTTAACCAGATATACCAGGAACCAGAAATTTTCCAGCCAGCTTCAGATGTGAAGGGGACTTCTACATTAAAAAAAAAAAAAGGTCCAGAATCTTCTTTGGTTTTGTTGCTTCCTGACATTTCTTGCCCTTACCTGCTTCATAAACCTTGTTTCATCTATCTTCTCCCTGGCAGAGGCATCTCTCAGCAGTTCCTCACTGAAGGTCTGTGGGTTAGCCTTGGGCTGCTCTAAGAAATGTTCTGCTGTGGGAGACAGTCTTGCTTAAGGCAACATAGTCGTGAGCATAATTGAAGCCTTGGGTGAAGAACAAAACCCTAAGATTAAATGGATTTACTCTGCAAGACATTGTGTTTCACTTATCACCAAATTATTTTGGTCTGCAGAGTGTGACAGCAATGCAGGGTGGAAGATACACAGTTTGTCACCATATGGTCCTGAGGAATGGAGCCTTGTGTGACAAAGAGAACATAATTTTGAAAATTTTTTTGAACTGTCTGTGTCTTTGAGGTTTTGCCACTTAAAATTGCTTTGAATTTCCCCAGGACTCATACATTTGCACCATAATCACAAGGAGGGCTGTTGTACTGAGGGAAACATAACAGATAAGCTGGAAAAAACACTGCTGGTTAAAGTGTAAAGCAGGAGGAACTGATGTGCACTTTGGTCAGGCATTCAAATATTCTGGGATCAGACTGAAAAACAACAGGATAGAAGTGGACTTTTTTCTCTTCTCCTTACCCAGCACATACAGCAACAGCAGAAACAAGAACAGTCGTGTTAATAGGTCTGCACTTCTTTTATTTGCTTGCTAATTTCTAAATCTTCAGGGTGCTCAGAATATTATTTTCAATTATCCTCTACAATAAGCAGAGTTACAGCATAAAGACACAAAAGCTTAAATTGTTTCCACGTTATTTGTTTTAGTTCTAGAAGAATATCTGCAAGATGTATTAATCACTTTTGAGGTCTGGTTGGAGAGCACCTGTACTTGCTCATATACATTTTTCAGACACAATGTTGAACCAAACCCCCATCATTTTGGTGACAATGAGGCATTTTGTGAATCTGTTTTAATTCTGTAAAATGCTTCATTC